GGGGGGGGAGTGTTAAAAAACAACCTCAAACTACTGGTCCCAGTAAGTATGCCACACTCCATGACACAGGACTGGGCTTAGTTACCTATCGGGGTGGGTTTTAGAGCGGAACTGAACTGCTTCTGGAGGAGAATCGTGATGGTCCACAGGTTTTCCTCTTCAGTGGGAAGCTGGGTTGCCTTCCATTCACACAGGTGCTGTATCACACTCTTTCATTTTGATGCAAGGGCATCACAACTCTCTTAATCGTTAGGCGAGCTAATTATCTTGGCTGGTTTTTAGACCAGCACATGACCACATAGGTCCCTGCTCTTGGGGCACTTGTCAGAGTTAGGGGTCATGGTATGCAACTCACCGCCACCCGGGATATACCGGAAGGTCAGTGGGGAAATATGAAACTGATTAACAGTCGGCCGAAGGATCTGCATCCTGTTCTGTGTTCCAGATTCTCTACTATCTGCCTACGAGAGTCGTGAATGGCAGGAAGATACACATTTGGGTCCTTCCTTTCCCTTGGCTCTAGGGGTCCCCCCATCCTCTGATCAGTGCAGTCCGCATTCCCAAGTTACCTGGCTGGAAGACGAAGACTTCTTCCTGTCCATCTTAGATTCATTTTTGCTTTCTGTTTTACAGTCGTTCTTATCACTTGCTAAAGAGGCACCATCAAAACTGGATTTTGACCTGAGCAAAGAGAACCCAGGGAGTCTGTAAGATGAATTGTTTAATGCTACTCATTAATCCTATTGTAATAAATCTTGATTAGCATGCCATCTCACAAGAAAACCTGACATTTGTTTTGTTTTGTTTTTCTGGACACCAGTGATCACTCCTAATACTCTAAGAGCATTTACACAGCATAGTGTGTGGGAGACTGGGATGGTTTCACAGGGCCACAACCTCAATCTGCAGAAACGCAGACTTCTAGAAGGGAGAAATACAAACTGAATTGTGAAGGTAATTATACCATCTCAAAGGATTTTAAGCAGTAAAAGTACTGTAGGCAAATTATTAAACAAAACTGCAGCTATAATTCGATCAAAGAATATTTTCGTTTCAGAATTCTATTAATATTTAACATGGGTTAAATGAGTAGGGCATTGTATTAAAGGCCTAGAGGGACACAAGACGGTCTTTTTCCTTAAGAAGCCTGTGAATGCATCCAACATCTTTTTTCTAAGGCAGTACAAGACGTAGCGCCCAATAATAATACATAGCACAGCTATTAGGAGGAGGTATAGACACCCTAAGTTCAGAAGGAGGTAAGAGGAGATTGACAGCACAACGCAGGTTTAATACACTGAGCCTCAGAGGATAAGCAGGAGTTGGGTATAAGGAAAAGAGAAACAAAACATCCCAGAGTGGGAAAACAGTAGAAGTGAAATCAGGATAAAAATGAAGACCACGTTGGAAAGTCAAGTTTTCCTTTGTTCTACTAAGGACAGAGGTCAGAGCTCCAGTATTTGTTTCTAAGGTGATTCTAGTCCTGGCTCTTCATTTGAGTAGGTGTGTGAATTTGCACATATCTTCAACCTGACAAACAGAATCATTCTCAAGTGGAATGCATGTATGGTTTTCAGAGATGTATATAAAAACCACTTTTATGATACAAGTATGTATTTTTTTTTCATTTTGGGGAAAAATGGCACATGAAATCCATGATCCTACAGTATGATTCCTTAGAAAGAGGCTCAGTTAAAATGAGTATTTGGTTCGGGGCGCCTGGGTGGCTCAGTCGGTTGAGCGTCCGACTTCGGCTCAGGTCATGATCTCACGGTCCGTGAGTTCCAACCCCGCGTCGGGCTCTGTGCTGACGGCTCAGAGCCTGGAGCCTGTTTCCGATTCTGTGTCTCCCTCTCTCTCTGACCCTCCCCCATTCATGCTCTGTCTCTCTCTGTCTCAAAAATAAATAAACGTTAAAAAATTTTTTTTTTTTAAATGAGTATTTGGTTCAAAGCAGAGTTAAGAATCTTGCGTAATTCAGGTGGTACAAGGGTGTGACTGAGAGACAGAAATGACTGCAGTTAAGACTTCAGACTCTGGGTTTCTCAGCCCTGAAAAGATGGGCCAAATGATATTCCAAGCTGCTGCCAGCCACAACAGTTTGGGTCCATGATGCTCTAACCACAGGTGAAATACCTCTCATTGATTCCAGGTGTCAGATTTGGATTTAGCTACTGGCCACTGAACCTATTTGCAGATACAAATGACTTTGGAATTCTAGGGGTTACTTTTTTTTTTTGAAATTATGAGTAAACATTTGTAGTCAAAAATAATTTTCACAAATGGCAATTTACCTATTAGTATACCATCCACTAATCCGAATTAATTACCTCGACTGATTCACACTAGTAAATGTTAATGGAATCATCAAGGCAACGATCAGACCTTCTGAAGGACTGTAAGCAAATTCTGACAGGCAAGGCCGATGTATCCCTGACGAACTCAAGAGGCACAAGCAGAAGGGGCTTGTGTGCACAGCACTGGTCTCTGGGGAAGGGGTGGAAGGGGCGCTTATTTATATGGCATTGGTATCTTTCTGTCTACCCTGTTACTCTCTCATCTCACAGGTCACTATGCGCAGGACCGGAAGTCGAGTGCAGAATGAAAATGTAGGGCCTCTTATTCAAGAATTAGGAATTTCCAGACAGCGAGAGCAGAGCATTACATCAAGCGTGGGGCTCTTTGCAACTGCACAGATGACACACCCACACCATTTGACAGACATGCCCTCATGATGAGTGTATTATTCTCACCCAAAGCCTGGGGGAGGCAGAGAAAAAGCCACAGTGTTTTTAAAGCGCCTGCTGGAGCCAGTCAGTAATGGTGAGAGATACAAGAAACGACATGCTTTGTGCGTTTGCCCGAGCCTCATTTGCTGAGTGAGGCAAGGTGCTCTGACAGCAAACAGCTATGGAAAGAAGCGCTGAAAGTGAGATGTGTCCAAACAGCCATGCAGAGCTGGTGAAGAGAGAAGTGGAAGGGGCAGGAAAGAAAAATGTGGGGGAGAGAGAAGACTTAGGCTTGGTCTTGAGTGAAGGAAGGATGTGGAGAGAGGGAATGGGCTGTGTAGCCAGGAAGGAAGGGAAAGGCAGGAGTTATTTAATTATCCTTTAGCAGAGGCCCGAAGACCCAGAAGGTACAGTTCTGACAGTTCCAGTAACAGAGACATGAGCAATCGCTCCACCACTCAGTACAGACCCCTGGCTACATGCACCGTTAACTGACCACTGAAATGATCATTCTCTGATGAGGGCACAAAAACAACTCTGAGCTCCTACTTCTTCCTTGCATGTGAGAAAAAGCATGTAACGAAGAGTCTCTGAGAGTGACAGGGACCGCGCCTCATCTCAAAACTGCCTGTTCCCTTCTAGGCTCACGACCAAACTGACGCTGGACCCACCAGCACCGGCCCCAAGAAACGGACATGCACACCCTGTCCGGGGATCCCAGGCAGGGCTCCCCCTCCGCTTTTTCGTGGCTGCCAGGAAAGCGAGACAGGTGTGCACACGCACAGGCAGAGCAGATACTCCAACCTGGGCGGGCCGCACCAGCACCCCGGCCAGCCTTTCCAGGTGCCGTATCAACCTATGCCAGGCAATGGGCTATCCTGGCTTTATCACTCAGCGAGATCAGTCCTTGAAGAGAGGGGCAGGTGTTCTGCAGTAGGTTGGGGCAGGAAGGAGAAAGTAAGCTGCCAGAAAGGGATGAGAAAGGAAGGCATGCATCCGTGCCGAGACTGAGGAAAACCACCCCACTTCTTTCTCAGGGGGTTATCTGGTTACAGTGGATCCTCACTTGTGACAACTGCCATTGAACTAGAAACATCAGCTCCTCCCAGCCACCCCTCCTCCCCAAAGGCCCCAAAGAACCAAGAGTCAACGTGAGGACACTCACCGCAAGGAAATGATTCTCTTCTGGTCTGGGGACTCAGCCTCGCAGGACGGGGTAGGGGACTGGGCTGTTGGCGACCTGCAGATCTTCTTTTTCTCCTCCAAACCATTCTCAGCCTCTGAGCTGGAGAAGAGAGAAAAACGCTTCACCTTAGACATCCGGGGAAGGGGGACATGTGGAAGGAAAAACGATGAGAAAACCTTGCTTTCTGGAGAGGGGAATGATGTTCAAGCCCCACAACAGGCTGAAGTCAGCGTGGACAGCTGTGCGCTTTCCAGATCTCCGTTCTGAAGCCTCTCAGCTGGTGCCTCAAGGGCAGGAGCTCCAGGTCCTGCCTGCTGCTGCAGGTAAACATCCGACTTTGTGGGGACTTGGTGGCTGCCGGGCGTGCGCAAGAGGGCCCCACGCTGCCCAGCTCTGCCCGGCTAGCATGCTGAGGCGACAGATCACCTGGAGTCTGGGAGGGCCCCTGCACACATGTGCACAGCACACAGGCTCACAGCCAGCTGTGAGCCTTTCTGCTGGGAGCCCCCGCCCCTTTGTCTGCATTTCCCTTAACACCCAATGTTGTAGTTATATAGGTCCCATTTTGGGTTGTTGATGTTTTAACCAAGGACCTCTCTAAGCAATTTCCAGTCTAATCTACACCACCACCCAGGCTGGGTAGGAATTATTACTCCCAGATTACAGATCTGGAATCTGAGGCTCTCACTTATCAACTTGGCCAAGTTCACAGAATCAGAATGGTTCTGAGTTGGGAGGCCTCTGGGTCCACACTCACCCTCCTATTCTCTAACTCTTCTCCCTGCCATCTACCCCCCTCCCCCAGTCACTGGTCCATCCATCTAGCCCCCTTATTAGCTCTTTAGTGTGAGAGCTCCAGGGCAGTGTGAGGATCTTATTGCCTTTTATACTGATCACATAGTCTAGGTGAGTGCTGGTATATAATGACGATCACTAGGCTTTTAGGGCTGACCTTGGTAAAAGAAGGACTAGAGGCAAAAGCAAGTCAGGATGGTTTGCATGCTGAACCACAAACCAGTGGAGGTAATGAGTGTGGTGGATACAGGAGTTGAGTTCCCTCAATGTTAGGGACTGGGGACACCAATTCCAATACGAGCAAGAGGAGAGAAAGGAAGGCGGGAAGGCACATACACAGTGTTTTAATTTCCATGGAGCAGACCTTCTTTGGTGTCAGTCTGCAAAGCACAGGATTCACAAGACAGATTTCTGAGAATGTGAGAACGCCACGGTGGCTGAACAGAAAGGGAAAATACTAAGGTAGCGTCGCTATGATCGTTCGGCTAATTTTAATCCCCATTCACCACCTATTTGGTGTCTTCACCTGCAGATGACCGCACAGGCAGGAAATGTCACCGGTTAGTTGAAGTTTTGTGGTTGCTTGCTTAAGACCCTTTTCACAGTATTTGAGGTTGCCAGCCCATACCAGTAACACTGCTGTAGTGTCAACATCAACACCAAGGGTATTTGACAAGGTATCCAATGGGCAATCCCTACATATGGTGGATATTCTTATACTGTGGTTAGTATTTCTCTCTTCCTAAGTACATAAATATTCAAGAACAGGAGCCCAACTTTCCACTTCTTCAATTCTCAAAGCACTCAAAAGCACTTAAGTACATTAAAAGAATTCAGTCCAGGGGCGCCTGGGTGGCTCAGTCGGTTAAGCGGCTGACTTCGGCTCAGGTCACGATCTCGTGGTCCGTGAGTTCGAGCCCCACGTCAGGCTCTGGGCTGATGGCTCAGAGCCTGGAGCCTGTTTCCGATTCTGTGTCTCCCTCTCTCTGACCCTCCCCCGTTCATGCTCTGTCTCTCTCTGTCTCAAAAATAAATAAACGTTAAAAAATTAAAAAAAAAAAAAAAAAAGAATTCAGTCCATAAATGAATTGCATTATGTGATGAAAGGTAAAGGGAAGGCTTTGAAATATTAATAGGAAAACACCACTCTGGTTTAAAATAGAGGATTTTATTTAATGTTAGCATCCAGTTTAATTCACAGACTCAGAGAATTTGGGAACTCTTAAGGGGCTTTAGAGCATATCTCTCCTAACTCCCCTCCCCAAGACACACACACATTCTGATTCTTCAAAGGCATCAGACAGTAATCCACTTGAGAGCCCCTCTTGAAGTAGGGAGAATAAATCTGTGTGGACCCTCAATAATCCACTCAGCATTTATTTACATATTTACCGATTTTATACAAGAACCGAGCCACTACTGTCCTGTCCAGCACCTCTGTGTACTTAGAAAGAGCCTTCCCACTAAGAAGCACTCATAAAAATGTGCCCCTCTGTATGGATGTAGCCCTAAGGGGACCTCAGCTCTGGGCAAATGTCTTATTTATCCAATTACTAAATTCCTTAGAAATGGGGAACTCGTGTGTTTTTTCCACAGCACTCAGCTCAGCATTTGGCTCATAGTGGTCCTTTTAAAAAAATTTTTTTTAAACATTTTACTTATTTTTGAGAGACAGAGAGAGACAGAGCATAAGCAGGGGAAGGGCAGAAAGAGAGGGAGACACAGAATCCAAAGCAGGCTCCAGGCTCTGAGCTGTCAGCACAGAGCCCGATGCGGGGCTCGAACTCACAAACCGCGAGTTTGTGACCTGAGCTGAAGTCAGACACTCAACCAACTGAGCCACTGAGGTGCCCCTGCTCATAGTGGTCCTTAATACATGTTGACTGATATGGGATTCATCCGGTAGTGTCTCAAACACAAAGTGACACTGCTGTATGGGCTGATTTCAGTTTTAGAGTTTTGTTGACTTGAAGATGCTACAGAAAACTCAAGCAAGTTGATTCCTAATGCAGACGAGATCACTCCTGCAAGCACCCCTTACCTCTGATGTCCTGCGGCAGCAGACTAAACTATGGACAATCCCAACAGCAGAGACTGCCAGTGTCTGAGTGAGCAGAGCGTGGGAGGGGACTGGAACGGTTCCTTGAGGTCCCTCAGTGGCTCTTAAGTTACCATCACTAAAGCTGAATTCACCAGCAAGGGAGAGGAAGTAACAGGTCTCATTTAAAGCATGAAAATAAAGAAATCAGGTTTTTTCGTTTTTGTTTTTTTTTTCTTAGAGAGAAAGAGAAGACACCTACATGAGTCAGGGAGGGGCAGAAGGAGACAGAGATCTAAGGAGGCTCCGTGCTCAGGACAGAGCCAGACCCGAGGCTTGATCCCACGACCCTGGGATCGCGACCTGAGCGGAATCAAGAGTCGAACGCTTAAATGACTGAGCTACACAGGCGCCCCTCTTTCTTTTTTTTAAACAAGACAAGGCCTTTCAGGGACAGTGACTAGGAGGGTCAACTAAAAAATCCCCAAAACCAAACCAAAAGAATAATCTTTCTTTTCCTTTTCTTTCTTTCCTTTCTTCTTTTTCCTTCCTTCCTCGTTCCTTCCTTCTTTTCTCCCTCCCTCCCTCCCTCCCTCCCTCCCTCCCTTCCATGTATAAACTATTTATTCACAGACAAGGCCTAAAGATTCCTTGGACCCACCCACAGTATGGCCACAGCAGCCTGTGGTCTTTCAGTGCTGGCCTCGGACACGAAGTCCCCAGAAGGGATGCCACCTTCTTTGGGCCTGAATCTTCGCCAGTCGCTCCAGGCCTTCGCGTAGTTTGGTGTTTGTACCATTGGCCAGGACCTGGTTGTATTTTTTCCATCCTTGACGTCCTTTCGTCTGTTGCAGAACCAGTCTGCGAGCTTATACTGGCATGGATTCCGCATCATGGTACACACACGGTCCATGTCATCCTCAGTGAGCTCTCCTGCCCTACTGGTGAGGGTGAGGTCTGCTCTCTCCAACACCCCATGAGCCGATCTTTGCCCCACACCCTTAAGTGCAGTGATGGCAAAGGCTGTTTTCTGCCAAATAATTGCTGCTGGTGTTGGGTACTTGCAAGACGTACTTGCTGGAACTTCTCAGCGATCATTGGAGGCGGCCCTAGTGGACGCCCCAGCAGTGGCACGTTCCAACCTTCCTCTTTCAACAAATGCTTATCAGAAGGGTTCCCGATGGCAGGGCAGGATGCTCAGGGCTGGGCAGCTGAAGAAACAAGTGGCTGGCGGTTTTAAGGATCCTTAGAAGCAGCAGCAGATGCTGGGGACAGAGGATCAATCTGTACTCGGCCTCGGCAAGTTATTTCTTCTCCCATCTCCAACCCAATTGAAGGGCCACTTATAGGCCCTGAAAGCTTTCAGTAGGGATTCCAGAGCAGTGAGACAGTCATGCTCATGCTAACCAAGCTGGATGGTACTGTTTAGGAGAATGCGTTCTTATCACCGGCTAGTAAGTGCTATTTTCAGGAAGAGACACTGCCCCACACTGTTACGCAATCTACAAATAAAAACACGGGTTGGACAATCCCTATCGACAGTACATTATGTGTCAATTCCCAGACCTCATTAATCTGATGATAAGATGATCAACCTTTCACCATTTTTCAGAATCAGAATTCTTACACGAAGCCAAGTCCCCTTCGTCCTGGAAAGAGTCTCTTTGAGTTGAAGGTAAACTCCACTGTCCTTTCTCCTGTCACATTCATCTCCCAGGCCTTTTGTCCCTCATGCTGGGAATGAGTTGAATTTAGCCATCATCCCAAGCAAGTCCCAAGCAGAAGGCATAATTCAAAAGTTACAAGCTGTCCAAGGAGCTACTGGGCAGAATGAGGATTCAGTTGCATCTCATGTGAGTGAATGGGCTGTGTCTCCAGGTAAATGAGAACTGGTGCCTCCCTGTGGCTCAGTCCAGGTAGCTGTGTTCCTTCCCAATTCCAGTGGTGAATTCCTGTGTTTGAACCTACCTTCAAGTTAAATCGGTCTAAGCGAAGGCATAAAAAATGTCATAAACTCCCTTATGGTAGTGTGGGTGAGGGTAGGTTTATATCCATTGTCACTTAAACAAAAAAATCCCTGATCATCATATCCTGAAACCACAGTCTTGACCAACAAAGTTTGCAAGTGACCTGAGGATAGGATATGTTTCCCCAGACAGTCTCCATGAGATAAAATCCTGGAAATGGGACTGTTGTGATGAAGGCCAGGTCTGTCACAGTACAGTGTTGTGCTGAAATGCTGTACTGAACACTCATGTGCACCTGG